GCCTTCTCACTAGGATCTGGATTTTTCTATTGGGCGTCAAAGAAGCAAGCAACAGTTGCACAATCAACAGTAGAAGCAACGTATATAGCAGCTGCTGAAACTACAAGTCAAGCAATATGGCTACGGAGAATACTTGAAGAAATGAGTGAACAACAAGATGGACCGACTGTTATATACTGTGACAACAGATCAGCAATAGCAACGACAAATAATCCAATTCATCACAAAGAACGAAACACATAGTCATCAAATATCACTTCATCAGAGAAGCAGAGACAACTAAGCAAATTAAACTTGAATACTGCTCAACAGAAGATCAAGTTGCAGACATATTTACAAAGGCACTACCAAGAGCGAAGTTTGAACAACTACGAACTATGCTTGGAGTTACCGAAATTTGTATCAAGGAGGAGTGTTAAATTATGATGCAAATTCTAGAAAAGAAAGAAAATTCTAGAAGCATAAGATAAGGTGTATAAAGAAAAAGAAAATTCTAGAAATATAAGATAAGATGTACAAGTCTCTAGAAAAAACTAAAAGAGTGTAGAGACTTGAAAAGTTTAGAAAATTCTAGATAATTCTACTGTCATCTAGAGATGGAGCACCATGCCTATAAATAGGCAAATTGGGACTTCATTATAACAACAACAACAATTATACTACTACTACTACTCTCTAAATACAAATAAGTTTCTATTATTCCACCAACTATTCTCTTGACAACTATCATATACTAACAAAATTATATAAGTGAGAAGAATTCACCTACCTAATATCTTAAAGTTTTATGTTAAGATGTAATGTCAAACTTAATTGTATAATTTGTTCACTATCTATGAATAGAGTGCTCCCTGGTATTTAAACTCCCTAACTCAACAAAAAATTCTCCTAACATAAAAAGAAGACTCAATAGAAAAGTCTCTTGATACAAAAAGAATAATCAAGCAACATAATCCTTGCATCACTCTTGGACACATGCTTGTTTTGAATGAATGCTTAGTGTTCCTATTTACAGCAGAGGTGTGTGGCTTCTTCAAATAATGATTAATGGATGGTAATTAATATTTGCATTTCGAAGAATCATTAATTAGGGATGTTTTTCTTCCTTTATCTTCCCCCATGTATCAAAATTATGGTGCTCCATCAATTAAGAAGGAATTCCCACATAAACCCTATTATACTTTATTGATAAAGTATTCCGTCTTAGAACCTTGATATACTCTTTTTCCTTTTTTTTTATAGCTATTATCCTTTTGGTGTTTATCATTGATCTTAGTTAGGAAATGAATTTTGAATAAATGAGATTCATTTTAAAATGTTTGGTATAGATATATAAATATTTGTGATTTTTAATAAATTTGAATCAACAATAAATAGTGTGTTTACTAATATTTCTCATACATTTTGAGGAATGTCAAGAACTGAACCTAACACTTAATTTTATGTGAGATGAACACAATTTTATGACTTTTATTAAAATTCAGGTAAATAAAAAGTATATTAGAGAATTTGTTGGTAGTATTTCTCTCATTAGGATGTTAAGGGTAGGCTTGTTAGGTTAAGTTATTGCTGAAGCATATGCACCGGTCATCTCTAATTCATCACATAAGAGCTATTTTGTGGGAAGGTCAGACTATGCCACTTGATTGGCATTGTTAGCATTACTTTGTATCTCTTGTTTTTTATTTTTTTTGTGGGTTTTGGTTTGGTCCCCCCACCTTGTACTTTTATCTTTCATTTTAATTTTAGCCTTTATTGATATGGAGCACATGATTGGTGTGTTGCAGGGTACTAACACTAGTGGAAAACGAGGCTTTTACATCACCTCTTTCTCATCGAACTTAACAAAAATCGACGTAAAAAAGATGCGGTGGAATTTTTGTAATTTTTGTGAACTTTTTATGTCAGACCTGGTAAGGTTCAACGTAAAATGTACAATCTACGTCAGACACAACATACAACCGACGTAGATTGTACACGCATGGGAGGCACACGCATGCACGCAAGAGAATCAAAAGAGTGCATGGGAGGCACATGCATGCACTCACTCACTCGGATCTCATCACTTTTATAAATTCTTCTTTGTATAAACCCTCTCCCTCTCCTTTGTTTCTAAATCATTTTTTTTATCTTTTGCAGAGTGAGGTGAACTCTTCGTTACTCATTCGCACATTGTTGCAGCTCAGGTATGAATCGCTAACACCTTTTTGCTTCGCATTGCTATTGTTGCTATTTGTTCTATTCGGTCTTTATGTTGTTCTATTTGTTTTGGTTGTTGGCCTTTTCTGGTGGGTTATTCTATCAAGTAGAACGACCCGTTCTCCAATCAGAATGGCCCGTTCTTCTTGCACTCGTTATGTTTTTTTTTATTTACAACTTTTTTACGTCGGATCTTGGCAATGTTCGACTTAAATTTACGTTAGATTTCACAGCCGATGTAAATTTACGTCTCTCGCTTTAACGTCAGACTTCTTTCTGACGTAAAAAGTTTAATAACTGACGTAAATTACCTCTTTTGTACTAGTGTAACCTAGTTAGGACCCCCTTTCGCATAAGAATGCTATAGCACATCTACCTTTTTCAAAAAAATAAAGCAAAAACAAAAAATTGTAATGGGTCTTAGATCTCAAATAGCTCTAATATGCCCTTCACTTATGTTAGTATTACGACATCTCGAACCCTAACCCTAACCTTAACCTGTAGAATCTTATACGCAACAATGACAGTAACCTACTTCAACCACTTTACATTGCAAGAACATATCGTCTCAAAAATGCTTTGTCAAAATGGCAATCCCAATGACTACTATTAACTACAGTAGAACATCTTGAATTTTGAAACAAAAATAAAATAAAGTAATTAAAATAATATTTGAAATATAGACAAATAATTTGTTTAATTATGTTATAATATTAATAAATGATGTTTTTAATAAATAGTAAAATAGAGATAAATTGTAGGTTTGTGGGAATCCTTTGGATTAGATCCTTAGGCTTGACTCGAAGTCTTATCAATAATTAAGAAGCGGATGGGTTAGGTAATATAACACGTCAGCTTCTAAAACCCTAAAAGCATTGGCAAAAGAAAACCAGGAGGAGAACCGTGAGGACTATCGGAACCCGAAAAATTTGATCTTGCCCACAAATAGTTTAGACAACCATTTTGAAAATCTCATTGGTTAAGGAATGTCCGGATACCAGACTAATCCCTAATCAATGGTTTTAGAAAAAGAGTTTGAAGGAGTCACCACCAATATTTTACTCAAAATATCAGAAAAAGAACAGATTTTTCAAATTACCAAAGTGACCTTCGTAGCCATAATTAGGGTCGGGGTCGATTACGTGTATGTAAGGTATTAGGCATCCTACAATGCCCTATATTGGTACACTACGATGAAATTAGAAAGATAGAGAATAAAAGTTCAAATATTTAGTCCCTTCTATTAATGGTTATTTACATGCTTAATTTAAAATTACATCGTTGAACCTAAGACATCTACATGGTTGCTCTCATTTATGACAATGTTTTATGGTAGAAATAATAGGTAATAGAGAAAGAATTTAATGGAAATACCTTTTGAACGAGATTTTATAGAATGTGCTTCCAATATGGTGGGCTTGAGGCATTTTTTGGTTGCCTTACACACTACAACTTACCTCACAAATCTCAAGAAATACAAAGGGAGAAAGAAAGAGAATATTTCCAACTGTGTGAGACTTTAGTAGGCAATTTTTTGGCTCTCGAGCATTGTACTCGAAGCTCATATATATAGATGTTAGACTTTACCAGAATAGGTTTTTCTAATCATTGGAATAAGGCATTCCGGAATAGTCTATTATAAGTAACTTTTGAGTTTGGAATGGCCCATTTCAAAATCGAAATGGCCCATTTCAAGATTGAAGTTAACTCATAACAACCTGGTTCAAAATGGTTCATTCTAAATTGGGAACACCCCGTTTTGACCTAGGATTTCTAAGCCATTTTAGAAGCTTGGAACAGTCCGTTCTGGATTAGAAAAGGCCCATTTTAGGCTATTAATTCATCCTTTTGGGTTTTTGGGCCTTCTGATTTCATCCTAATCCATCCTAATGTCAATGAGCCATTCTGATGTCATGTTGATCCATTTTGACATCATATTCGGGCCTTCGGGAACTCCTTTGTCTAGTACTAAAGGCCTATTTCCTTGTTTGCATGTCCCAGACGAAATTAGGTGTCTACAGATGCCCTTCTTTACTTGTCCTTTAGATAGCTATGTGTTTCTTTCCCAAAAGCAAGTAAAGATGTATACATTTCACCTGGGTCTTCTCTTTTGTTTCATAGTGTAGGTGCTTCCACTTTATTTCCTTCGGGTAGATGGTTTTACCTGTATCCTTACGCTTTGGAGCAACTGAGTGTCAAGTTGCATATTTCGTTGGCTGACAAGGATGGTAAATTGTATTATCTGGACTTCGGACTCTGGTTGTAATGGCCAAAGTTGATTTGCGAAAATCAATTGCCTTATGTCTTTTTCCAATGTTTTGAGTAAAACATTGGTGGCGACTCCAAGAACCCCTTTTTGCGAAAACCACTAATCCATGGAGGGTCCCGTTTCGGCGGTATATATAAAAGAAGTAAGAGTTGTTTCTTATAATAAAACAATTTAAAAAAAAAAACAGTTTAGATAAACACATAAAAATAAACTGTTTATTTATTGAAAAAAAAAAACTTGAACAAACATGCTCAATAGGTGAGGAAAATGGAAGAAAGAGGTATTTAATATTTATTTTGGACCGGACAATAATTATTTAATTAGTTTGGTCTTGAACACTAAAGGCTTATACGTTTTAGTCTTACAGCAAGACAGGCAACACAAAATAAAAAAACATTGAGGAAAGCTTAAAGCATACACGTTTTCATCAGCATGAGGTTAATCATATCACAAATTAAAGTATGAAAACACTACTAGATAAAGAATAGGGGACTTTGAAGAAAGACATGCAACCACAATAGGTATAATTAACCTGCATATTTTGTTCAACTGTTCTGAATGAAGTTGGAGTGTCATTCTTGGTATGCCTGCGGTATCGTTCAATTGTCTCCTGCATGCTGTATCATTAAAGCCAATATTAAGTAAATGAACACTTGCTTAGAAAATGAGAAAATATATAGAGGAGGACATGATCAATGTCTTGCAAGGGTTATGGTTGACAACAAACTAAGAAAATGAAAAATGGGAAGGGAAACTTAAATTGTATCTTAGTTTTAATTTTAGTGCAATATAAATGGGAGAAACAAAATGAAGAGCAAACAGAAAAGTCACAAATTCATTGGTTTTCATTGGTATAATACTTATTTTGTTCATTTCTATTATGAAAATGATGCGGGAACTTTTGAATTCATTAAATACAAATTCTTTCTTATATTGAAAAATCTTTGCTCCTTTCTTTTTTATTGATTTTCTTTCATCTATGTTGGATACCATTATTTGGTTGAATCAAAAATGATTCTATTATCTCTGTATTCACAATTCAATATACACAGATATATACCATATATCTATCTATATTATATGCCCCTACTTCTAATATTTTTTTATGCAATTAGGGATACTCGAACGGTCGATTCTCTTTTTTTTCGTCTTAGTTTTTTATTTTTCCGAATGAAAACATGGGAATCTTTAATTATTATCTGGGTTGGACTTTTCTTTTTCTTTCCTTTTTTTGTTTAAATAAATAATCCATTTATTCATATAGAATTAATATAACTAAAATGAATTTAATGGCCATAAAAAACCATTATTTTCTTTTAATGTCGAATTCATTTCGAAATATTGAATTCCTAGTTACTTACTCAAATTTACTTTCATTTTAATATATATATATTTTAATAATCCAATATATAATAATAAAATATCTTATAATTCTAATGTAATGAAATTTTCTGTTATTTGGAAATAATTCAAATGAATGCCCTAATTTTATTTCTGGGGGGGGATTATAATGGTGAGTTCAAGTTAAGCTCTCATTTACATTCCTCTAATGTCATTGGATTCCCTAAGCAATAGTTCTAAGATCTTCATATCTCCTTCAACAACTTTTTTCCAAAAAACCTTTCCAGACAACCTCTATGACAATGAGGAAGCACCCCCTGTTAGCATATGAACTGATACTCCTTTCGATTTCGAATATGAGCCAAAAAAATCACATTAATATTGACTTCCAATATAAGTAAGTTTTAATTAATTTGACCTGATTTAATGTTAAAATATTCTTCATTTAATTGAGGTTTTGTTTTTAATGATAATTTTTTTAATATTAATTTCCAATAAAAGATACATTCTTTATTAATTAGTTAATTTTTTTACCAAGCAATCATTTGATTTTCTTCTTACATGGAGGCTTTAGTCTTTTTCATCGCTCCACTTGCACTATAGACAATTTTTTTTTTTGTTGCTAGAATTCAACTTTTTCTTTTTTCCCAAATGCTTAAAACAACATAAAATTCCATGTCTTTACACGAATTTTTTAGCAAACATATGAAGCCTTTTAATCAACATATGATACATTTTACTTTAAAAAATAATAACAAGTAATATTTTTGATAGACCTAAATTAAGCTTAAGTTTTAGTAGGCGTACAATTACGTTAGCCAGATCACTACTTTTGAAGAAGTTGGATAAAAAACCTTCCAAAAATATGAGGTGAATAAGCTGATGTCAATTTATGAAGAAAAAAAACATTACCTCTTTATTTTCTTTTTGTATGATTATTTTTTAAAGTGTTAGAAAAATTAACAACTAATATTTTCAAATAAATGAAAAAAGTGGAAAGTCAAGGGATACATTCCAAGAGGTGATGAATGTATCTTGACTCTTAGAAAAATCCACTACCATAATCAAAGAGTATGTAAAGAAGTGAAACATTTATGAATGTAGACTTTGACATCTCCTATAAAAGAATTTATAATGAGAATATACACCATCTACCAAGAAAGAAAGGGGTCATCACCCTATGAGAGAAGTTTTGTAATGAGGAGGATTTTTCAAGTGTTCAAAAACTTATAATGTGATTTGAAATAATGAATATATTTATTGAAATGTTTCCGTGGACATAAATAAGAAGTGTAGAATCACGTTAAATCCATGTCTTCCTATGTCTTATTTATATTTGTGTTGTTATTTGTGTGTTTATACTTTTTGATTTTTCTTGTGTGAAGGGTATTTTTCTCCAGCAAAAAAATTTACAAAATTGACACTGATTAATTTTATTTTTCTTTAGTTGCCTAAATATCTAGCTAGTATAGGACTAATTGCTCAAAGTACAAATTTATTTAAAGAGCTCACTTCTTTCATCAAATGTATTTTCATGAATTTAGACTTGGAAATCAAACACCTAATTACATGTTTAAGGTGCACTTTTGGCCAAGCAACTTAAAGATTAAATAGCATTGATCTACCTAGCTAGTTTGCATTTCCTTCTCCCTTCCAGGTACACTTATGAACCGGTCTCAAATATCCTCGTACAGTTGCTTATTTACAACTGTCCTCGAAACATTTAATAATCTATTCTGATTTTTTTTTCAGTGTTCTTTTGCTACTACTTGCAAACCAAACTTGCTTGCATCAGCACTTGATGTATTAAACGTTCCTATAATATAACTCCTTTGTCTACCATACTACCTATCAAGCTTTTAGTTTTCTTTTTTGATAAGTTATTCTAATTTTATTCTAACACACTAAAGTGCAGAGTGCACATTAAAGTACTATTAATTGATAAATCGACAGTTGCAACTCTGATAAAATACATACACTGGTATAACTTACTGTGATACAAATTTAAACCGTTGATAGAGAAATCAGTAGTTATCACAAGACTTTACCTACCTCACACTGGAGAGGAATTAAATCTTATATATAGATAGTAGTCTTTAAATGTGTGGGGATCCTCTCCCTTACTACTTTACTTTAGAGAGTAAAGCGAAGAGTACTAATAACTATTGATTCAAATATCAAATGTAGATATCGTGATTAAATGTTCATAAAATTTGGTGAAATTTACGCCTTATTTAATAAACTTTGTTATGATTTTATAATTTTTAATTAATGAGAGAAGTGTTAAAACAAATGTGTCATAAAGTACATTATTATTATTACTTATTCTTAAATATATTTATGACTCTTGAATTGAGGTATGATTTTGTTTGTATATTATTATTATGGCTGGTGTAAGCAACCTGTTTTGGTCTTATTTGTATAAATTTTTTATAGAAAAAAAACTTTAAAAAAATTAAGTTTATTTCTTAAACTAAACTTAACTTAAGCTAAAAAGAAATATCCAACTATTTGATGTCTGTCAAATCTATGAAAGAAATTGTCTTGATATTCAACAAGATATACTTCTTGATAATAAACAAAATAAAAAATTAAAATTAACATATAAATAAATTAATTTATAGAAGTTATCTCATTTAAAAGTTAATTTTTAACTTATACACAAGGTAATTTTAATTTAGAAAAATTTAGTTCATATTTCTTTTTCTTACACGTGCTTCTTAAAAATTTATCCAAACAGTACATTTGTATATTTTGATTTGCAGAAAACAAATAGCTTTGTTGCACAAATAAGTTGGGATACTCCTCCTACTCCCATGTATGATATATCTATGAACATAAAGTTCTATGTTGACTGAAAAACAATGCAGTTTGGTTACTGTTGGTAATAGCCTGAAAAACAGCCTAGGGCAGATGGCGCTAGTCTGCTACATGTAAGGGTGGAATGGGATTATCAATATGGAGGGTCTTGATTCAATGAAGTTCAATTCAACTAAATTTGAGAGTTATCCCCTTAAACCTGAATTAGTGTTAGAATCAAGCACAATTACATCGATTTAAATACTTGATTATATAATAGTTAATTTCAAACCAATAATTATTAGGCTAATAAAATAAGTTTATAATGCCTTAAAATATGAAGAAAAAAAAATTATTCCTAATTTTATTCATTTTTATCTCTAAAACTACAAAAGTCATATGTTTTTAGCCTCTAGTGAAAGAGTAAATAAAACCGAGTTGTTTTTGCTAAATCTAAAAATTAAAAACAAATTAAATTTGTAAAGGGACTAAAATATTATAATATTTTTATGGATCAAAATCACATTTAAATCTAATTACTATTAACTTGAATGCACATTAAATTGTGTCAGGATTCAAGTTTACTTGTATATTCAAATTTTTTTCTTTTATTGAATTGTGATTTTGTTGTTAGTGTTGTGATTTGGTGTTTGTGTAAATTCTTTTATTGAATTTGATTTTGTGATAACTTCTCTTTTCTTGTGTTTGTCATTTATTCCTCTATCAAGGATTATTACAGTGGTAATGAGAAGGCTATTAGTGTGAATTTGGAGGAGTTTATGGCAGCATCTTTAACACACCAATTCAAGTGTGAGCCTAGTGGAGGAAGGACACTTAGTTGCTTATTGTCATTAGCACATTGACCCACCAAAATCAGTGCAATTTACACACTTCAAAAGCACAAGGAATAAGCTCCATATTTTGTGCACGTTAACAATGCCAAATCTACCGTGAAACACTTGGAGAAATCAAAATGCACGTATTTAGAACAACCAATGCATATTAGTAAAAGCCAGAATCATGCGTGATCTTTCTCTCCTCTAACATTAGAGCTAAAGGAACTTTTTTTAAAAGAATCATGTTGCAAAGGTCATAAAATTCCAATGGAGCACTTGATCTCTTTTCAATTCTATGTTCATTTCTCATTCTGAGTAACTGAATTTCTGTATTTAATTAGGGAATGAGAAATCTCAACCCTAACTTGTGTAATATGAAGTTTTGTTCCTAATTCATGTTAACTTAAGAAAGTTCTGGATAAATCTATCCATAAGTAATTATAAGAGAAAAATAGGAAAAAATAAAATATTTTTTTCATAACCTAAAATTAATTTATTTTTAAGTTAATTTTTATTATTTTTTCAATATTAACTTATCCAAAAACTTATTTTTAATTTTTGTATATGTCAATTTTTCTTCTTGTTTTTTCTTAAATAAATGTTTATGGAGAAATTTATATAAATAGACTCTAACTATTGTTGCTTACTTATTTCTATGTCTAATGTTTTTAATAATTTACTTTTCATGGCACATATTAAATCTATATTGACAACTGAAAATAGGGATCGAAAATAAAACCAAAAAAAACATATAATTGATTATATTTAAGGGATAGAGATTAACAATTCTGAGATCTTTTGGATTTTCAAACTTAATATTTCTTCTAATTTGGGATATTTTAGGAATTAAGATTTCTATTAGAGAGAAAAAGTTGATGTATCAAGCAATTGAACTTCAACCACATTTGTGAACCTAATCTTCTATTTAATTATTTTAATTTGAATTGGAATGAATGTTGAGGGTCCTTAATTGGCTGAAGGTTGGGAAAAATCATTCTCTCTAATCTCTCATATATACATTTTTTTTAAGTTGGAGGGGTCAAGCCCCAAAAGAAAACCCCAAACTAAGGTAAAGAGACCCCTGAAGAATCTCATTCTTGCGGGTGACTGTGATTGCTTTGTGCTATTACTTAGTTTGTTGTTCATAATTGTAATTAAATTCACCCTTTCAAGGTTTAGCCCAAAAAGTTTGTTGGTTGGTAATTAATCGATTCATTGCCCCTTGAGACAAAACTCTATCACTTTACACTAGTTGATAACCACACGTATATGTTCAGCCTGAGTTGAATCCAACTTGGAAGTAGAACATTTCAAAATCACATTGGATAATGGATTCATATGTAGAAATTACAAGATAAAAGCCTAAAGGCAAGAGTTGTAACTGCTAAGACCACAAGCATGAATAACAACGCAAATAATGACAAATTTAATTCCATGTCTCTTTTTCCCGTGTGATTACATTTTGAAATGGTTTGTTTATTTCTTACTAGATTATCCTAGGATATTCCATCTCTCAAAGTTGTCTATTCTGGTGTTTCTAATGAAGTGAATCTGTCGTGGGGCTCAAGACTAAGCCTAGAAATCTTGTCATTATCTACTTATATAACAAGATCAGGACTAAGGAGGATCACACAATAAATGCTTAGTTGCCTAGCTCAAACTCAAAACTTGATTAATCTAAATTTATATATGCATGCCATGCTTGACTTTACTCGATTATATCTACGTAACTGACTCTGCATTAATACAAAAGGATATAGAAGATGCTTGAAAACACAATCTCTAATTCTCTATGCATTAGAATAAAGTTAAAAGGGATTCTTTCTTGGGTATCTTCTGGCAGTTATGTTACGGTTCCTCATGACAGGCAAAAACCCTAGACTGGTCAAGGATAGTTGAAGTACCTTCACAGTAGTTATTCTGGCGTCATATCACAAACCAAAACCTAGGCAAGGCTTAGTATTTGAAACTAAATCCCCTTAAATCATGGTTCATAATATCACTACAACAAAATGTGTTTTTTTAACAATATTAGAAAAATGTGTTGTTGAACAATAAATAAATATTTCTAATACATTTTTGTAACATTTTATTAAATGTAAGATAAAATGATCTATGTTATTAAAGATTTTTAATAATATTTTATATATTAGTGACGATATTTTTAAAAATATTACTAAGTTTTTGTAAACGGTATAAAATGATAATTAGATTGTACTATTACTTATATATGATGACTTTTGTGTACAAGTCTTTTAAAGATATCATTTTTTTTTCATTTTTTTTTTAAAAAGAGAAAATATCTTAAGTTAGACACCACTAAATCTAAATCACATATCAAAGTTCATTTATTTTTAGTGTTTCACTTTATGATTATACATACTCTTCATGAGTCATTCTATTACTCTATGTGAGATTTCAATTTTGGGAAACAATTAAAGAAAGGAACAATATAATTTTAATAATCATTCTTTTACTCGATGTGGAACTAAATTTTAAAAGATAATTATTAAAAAATAGAGATAAAAAAATGTTACTCTATAGTAAAAGAAAAATTAAAAAATATTACAATAACCTATTAACTTAATTTATAATAACATTTTAGTAGACAAATATCGTTAAAAATATTAAATGTAGTAGTATATATATGCCTTCATATCAAGCCGAAATGTGTCATAACTTGGATGAAATAAACTCAATTCTAACCATAGTTTCGAACTTTATATAGTATTCAAAAATGTTTGGATAACGTAGGTTTCTTGCAACTGCTGCTCCATGTGGATTACAGCACAAGACAATTGTTGCAAGCTGTAGGATTTTGAGAGATGATGTGATTAGAGGGTAAGAATTTTAAATAAAAAATAAAATAATGTTATAATTTTTTATTCGTTATTAAACATAGGTTGGTGGGTTCGAGCTATACTTTAAGTTACAAGCATATCTATTTATAAACATTGTCCAGTGAAATAAATTAATTTTACTGAAAAAGTGAATTACTAGACATGGAATAGACATGTCCCGTAAAATAAATTAATTTTGCTGATGAAATCTAATTACAAGACATGTCCATTTACATCATAAAAAAAAAAAAAAGTTTTTCTGAGTAAAATTAGTTTATGATCCTTAACTCTTCGGTAATTTTATATGATAGTTTTGTATTAAAATTAACTTAGACCTTACTATAACTTCTTATGGAACCAAGTGAGGGCAATGATACTGGATATTGTTATACCATGAGTAATTTCCTTCGCTCCCTTTCCCGTCGTCTAACTATCAAAGCTTCTTCCTCCTCCTCTTCTTCTTCCAAAAATCTGCTCACAGAGCAACACCAATCTGTGGAGGAAATACCTCCTAAAAACAATATCTTCGAAGAGGAAGTCTGCTTTGAAGATATCAATCAAGCAATCGATAACTGGGAAATCCCTAAAATCCCTCAGGATGAGCTTTACATCCCTGATGAAAACAAACATGTCCGCAGTTCTGATTATATCATCAAGACTGCCGAAAACAACATCCCTTTGGACCCCCAAACTGGTGAAGAATTCCACCTTCTCACAAAGCAATCAATTACTGAGCATTCTAGGAAGTATAAATACCTCCATATAGGATGTGTTCAAGTAGCTGTTAAACCTCTCATCAGAGAAGGGCTTAATGCCTCAATCCTTATGTGTCTTAGAGATATTAGGCACAATGACTTCCACGATTCTCTTATAGGAACCGTAGAAACAAGTTTAGGACATGGTCCTGTCTATTTCAATTGTTTCCCAAACAAAACTGTGAGTCTTTTAGACAGAAATGTTCTAGATTCGCTGTTTTTAAACATCAGACTGCATGGGTTGGACATGAAAGAAGGATCTATCCCTGCAGCCCTTCTTTACAGAATCCAATACAAAGTCATGAACACTTGTAATTCAAGGGTTCTGCTTAAAACAACTGATCGGGAAACCACTTTGTTTGTCACAGACATGACAAAAGCCAACGTGGCTGTTCCCAAACTCATAAAATGGGATGAGGTTGAATTACCTACATCCTGGCAAATCGATAGAGCAACCCCAACTTTACCTAGACAAGCCCCAGAATTCCAAGAAATTAAGCAGTCTGAGGCCGGTAAGGTAGAAATCATCTTTGACATTTTGAAGGATCTCCAGTCATATGCCTTGAGCAGCCACTATCAAGATACCATAATAAGCTTTTGGCTCTCAAACATTCCTACAAAAAGGATCAGAAAATTGATTTAGGTACCCATGTGAAGGGTCCTTGATGGTTAGTTCTTAGCCTTTGGCTCTTTTTAATCTAAACCATTTCTCCATTTGGAACTCCAAACTTCCTAGAGTAGCAGTTCCTTATTGTATGACCTTTCTTACAACAATAATAGCAAGTTGTTTGTCTAATGAAATTGCCTTTGTATTTTATGAAAACTTGGTTTTTCTTAAAAACTCCTTCTCTTGATTTTAATGGCATGTTCATGATTTGATTAAAGCCAAGTCCACTTCTATCAAAAGTATTTCTTTGCCTTCCCAAAATGATATTCAAATTTTCATTTCCATTTGTAAACTTTGCAAGAGTAATTTTCAAATCAGCATTTTCCTTTTCCAAAGTCTTGCAATTTTCATAAACACCTTTTGAAGAAGGGGAGGTTTCACAATGAGCTTCATTAAAGTTCAAAATAGTTTGAAGATTGTCATGCTCATTTTTCAAATCCTCAAGCTCTTGTTCAGCTTTAATTAAATCATTTTCATACCATGACATCTTGTTTTTAAGCTTTGAATTTAAAGCATCTAATTTCACAGCCTCTTTGTGAATTTGAATGAAAGCTTCTTGAAGTTGATCATAGTCCGGATTAGATTCAAGGTCAGAATCACTTACTATTGTGTCTTGATCAGCTCCAGCCATCAAACACAAATTGTTCTCTTCAAATTCAGATTCATCACTTGTTGTGCTTGAGTCATTGTCTTCCCAAGCAATGTAGGCTCTCTTTCCTTTGCCATTTTTCTTCACTTTCTTTTCCTCTTGTTGCTTCTTTAAGAGGTTTGGACATTCA